AAAAAAAAAAAAAAAAGAACTGGAACCCAGGTCACATATGGGTCAGAACCTCTAGGTGTGCACCCTGGGCATCAGCTTCCCCAGGTGATTCCAGTGTGTGGCCATGTTTGGGAATCACTGTGCTTGTCCTTTAATCTCCATTTTATCTTCAAATGCTCCCTGTTATCCTATGCTTCTATATTTTTATCCTCTTTTCAAAATTAATAGGCTTAGAGAAGTTGAATAACTTGTCTAGGGTCAGAAGCTAAGGCAGACTATAAGCTCTTAAATGCAGCACAGTGCCTGATGCATTGTTTGCCTGGTGTCTAGCACACTGCCTGCACCCAGGAAGGGTGCAAGCCATGGTGGGTTAGACCAACCAAGATGCAATGGAGCCCCAGTGTGGACTGGGGAGAGATGGGGAGAGTAGGAGGCATATTGCTGAAGATAGCTGCTGGGTCAAACAAGGTGAAAGGAGAAAAACCCTCTCCCTTCCTGCCAGGACTCTTATGGGAATGATGACCTATGTATCCTGGCCCTTCATGGCCTGGACATCCCACCGCCCACTGGTCCCACCTGGGTCCTGGGAGCCAGCTTCATCCGAAAGTTCTACACGGAGTTTGATCGGCATAATAATCGCATTGGCTTCGCCTTGGCCCGCTGAGGCCCGCTGCTGCCTAGGCAGGCCCTGCCCTCAGCCCTATCCCAGAGCAGGAGCACTTTCTGGGATCTCTCTGCCTGGGCTTGTGCCCTCACATGGGGACAATGGGCATGGAGCTCCTGCTGGACCCTTGCCTGCCCCACACACCAGCCCCTCCCTGCTTTGAGGACAAACAAAATAAAGACTTCATGTTCACAACCTGCTGTGTCTGGGTTCATTGGGGTTTAGAACGGAGGGAGGGATAGCTGCATGATCAGGTGCAGACAGGAACGTGACACAGATTGGCAAACGACACATTCACCCTCTGCACAGGTTCCTGCGTGCAGGGATGATGCCATCCATCTGCTGTCAACAGGGCGCAGGCGGAGCTGTTTACACAACCTCAGGTGGGAAGTTTGCAGAGAGTCAGCCCCAAACCCCCTTTAGCCCCTCAGAAACCAAAGCTACTGCTGTGGCAGTAGGCTGTGGGTCAGAAATGGGTTCCCAGCTCACAGAAGCCAGCTCTAAGCTCAGGCTCTGTACTGCTGAGCTGGCCAGCCCTGCCTTTCATGCACTGCAAAACTTCCCTCAGCTCTGCTTCTCGTCTGCTGCAGAGGCCTACACCCTCCCTTCACCTGGGAGGCAGAGCCTACACCGGTGCAGACTATGTGTTACAGGTGAGGTTCGCATAGGCACACCCCGTGACAGGGAGGAAGGCTAGGTAGGCACCCTCAAAGGGAGACAAGTTATTGTATGACAACGCACAGATTCTGTATTAGACCAGTTGCTCTCAAACTTGGCTGCACACATCACCTGGAGAGCTTTAAAAATTCTGGTATCCCGCCCATGCCCCTGTAGCCATTTATGTAGGCAGTCAAAGGTACCACCACCTAAAATCGGAGAACACCGGGGATCCAGGCAATACTTTACACATGGGGAAACTGAGGCCCAGAGACTGGAAGGCACTTGCCCAAGATTACTTGGTGAAGAATCAGGCAGTGGAGAATACTGAAAGGTAGGGAAGAATCAAGACTAGAGCCCAGCCCATCTGGTTCAGGTTCTTGGGGCTGTTCACTGTATCACATGCAGCTGGCCCTGTCACAAGATCAGAGCTTCACACACCCTGGTACACCTGCGCAAGCACACAGGTGCACACACACACTGCTGTCCTCCATCTTGTGGACTTGGGACTCCTGGGGCTGAAGTCTCTTCTCCCACTCACACCCCTCAGGCTGTCTGCAGGGGATGTGTGGCTTTGGGAGTGAGAAAGCAGCATGCACCTGAAGCCACTGAAGCTGTCCCTCTTCATCTGTTCACCCCTCTTTTTGACTGAAAACTGTGAGGCGCTGAAAGATCCAATCAGGCCCTCAGAACCCCTAAAACCGCAGCCTCCTGGGGTTGGGTGGAATCCCAGGCAGCCGCCATCTGAGGCATCCTTGTGCAGAGCCAAAAGCATGCACCTGGGCTCCAGGACCCTGGACTCCCCCGATTCTCCTTGTTCCCTTGCCCTGCTTGGCCTTATTGCCTCACTGCAAAAGGAAGGGTGGGAGGCAAGTGTCCTTTCCAGCTCCATGTTGGGGACCCATGATGTTAAGATGGCAAGCCCCCCAACATCTCTTACACTCTTCAATACAGTAGCTGCACATGGCTATTTACATGAAAATTAATTAAAATTGAATGAAGTGTCGCACAGGCCACATTTCAAGTCCTGGATAGCCACATATGGCTAGTGGCCACTGCATTGGATAGTACACATATAGAACATTTCCATCACTGCAGAAAGTGCTAGGCAGAGCTGGAGTCTGGACAGTAATAACCATAGGGGTCTTAGCCGGGCTCAGTGGCTCAGCCTGTAATCCCGTGCCTTGGGAGGCTGAGGTGGGTGGATTGCCTGAGCCCACGGGTTTGAGACCCACCTGGGCAACTTAGCGAAACCTCATCTCTACAATAAATCAAAAATTAGCCGGGCGTGGTAGCGCGCACCTGTAGTTCCAGCTACTTGGAAGGCTGAGGCGCAAGGATCGCCGGAGCCCAGCAGGTCGAGGCTGTGGTGGCCGGGAGCGGCCACTACCCTCCTGTCTGGGCGACAGAATGAGACTCCAACTCAAAAAAAAAACAAACAAACCATAGGGGTCTTGTGGTTAATGTTCCCGAATAAGGGCAAAGGGACAACTTGGGGAAACAGAAAATGGCATCTTCTCTGTAGGCACTTTTCTGGGTGGTGCAGTAAGAGATGGTGACAAGTGAAGTCTCTGAGGCGGAACAGAAAAATGGGTGGGTGAGACCTCACTTTAGCAATGAGGGCTGGCAACCTACTGAATGCTCCCACTCAGGCAGTGACAGTGAATGACCAAGGAGTCTGCTTAGCAGAGGGACGTTCCTCTAAGCCAACCTGGCCTCTCTGCATGTCTCCTCCTCACAGCAACTGTCCAGGGACACCTTGTCACCCCTTCCCCTTCTTTCCCACTCCCAGCTATCACCACATCCTGCTTCCGCCCTGTGGCGGTGCCAGGCCTTTAATTCTCCTCCCGGGACATGCGCAGGGTCTGTCCACTCCACAGTCTTAGTGCCCAGCAAAGCACTGGGCCTAGGGACACCTGCTTGTCTACCACTATCCCCATCAGACTCTCAAGATGGGAGAGGGCTTTAACTCAGTCTTGCTCCAAGTCCTGGCCAAACACCCCAAAGCCCTGGATTGTTCAGGGACCTGTCAGGGCCAGTCTGCAGGACTGGCACACTCACCCCCAACCACCACCCAAGGTCCCTGGGGGGCTTCCTTCAGGAAAACACCTTTGAGATACAGCAGAGGGCGCCCCTGGAGAGTCATTTCAGGGGCCCAGGCGCTAGGGGCAGGGAACAGGAGCACGGGGGGCGAGCACCAGCAGCCGTCTTGAGAACAGCGGGATCTCCCCGCTGTCGTGCGGGCGCAGCA